CACCACCACCCTCAAGTTCAGAGTCTGCTCCCCATCCAGCTCTATATGCTTCTGTGTTCAACCAAAATCCTGAAGCTGGAAAGGAACACAAAGGGCATCTGGCCTACCTCTCTCCTTCCAAAGAGGATAGCCAACTGAACTTCCCCGGCTCACAGCTGAGCTACTTTCCACTGCACCACGAGTGTCTGTGCTCCATGGGGCCTTCTTTGTGGTACTTCCCGAGCTTTAGATGTTTCTACCATCACGCTTCTGAGCATGTTGTTTCTCCTCCTCAGAATGTCTTTTCCTCTGGCCCATACAAATCCCACCTATCCTTCCAGATTACATCCCAGCCCTTAAGAAGCCCTCCCCAAACTCTACAGCCCCTGTCCCTCTTTTCCTCCTTCTCTGAGATAAGCTTAAGCTCACTGAATTCAAGCAACCATTTGCCTCTTAGATGCTGTTTAATAGACAGTTAATATGTATTTATTGATTGACTTTCTAATATTTAAAAGCAGAGGGTAAGAAACTTTAGGATTTAATCTTAAATGAAGTTTTCCTACAAGGTACGTATCAAAGAGTAAATAGAAAGGCTCAGTATTTTATCATGAAGATATTTAAATCATGTAATCATTAAAGAAGTGAGTATCTCCGCATACTCAGAACCACTGACTACAATGATAATAGACGCCAGCACTCTTGTTTTTTCTAATATACTATTATTTGGGAGACGCTTGTTTCAGGCAACTGAATTCTTACATTTATTAGATAGAGCAACTGGGGCCTTTTTCCCTTGGAAGATACTGGGTCCTGCAGTAAGCGATCTCACGGAAAGCCCTCACGCACAGTCGGAATCCACAGAACTCTACTGGCTGCTGCCTCTCAAGATTCTCTCTGCCTCGGAGAACTCTGCCCTATAATACAGATCTACGCACAAGATGTTGGTGCTGCATTACAGGACTCTTTCTGTGTGTGCGTGTGCATGCACATACACACACACACACGTGCACGCGTACACACATGCACACTGCTTTTTCATTTCTACCTTTGGTTACTTACTGTTATAACAGGATCATTGAACTTTATCACTTGGAAAGAACTTAACCCTTTGCACTCGGATGTCCAGTGTGACTCGACACGGTTAGCAGCTCCTATGTGGAGCCACACTCGACACATAGTTTCACCGCGGGGGGAAGGGGGGATTTTTGTCTATTTTTCCAGTATCTTCTCTTGTTTTCATTAGCAAGAAAGGACAAGTAAAATGTAAATGCAGAGATGGTACACTGACTTCCAGGGGTAGATTATTATCCACTAACTTAGAGCAACGTTTAGATGGAAAGCTCCATACAATCACACCTCACCCTAACAAAAAACACAAAGATTGTGTCGTTTGTTCTAACAGAAAAATCAAAGGAGGAAGAAGAAAGACGATTTATATTTGTGAAACATGTGAATGTAAACCAGGTCTTCACGTGGGTGAATGTTTCAGAAAATATCACACCATGAAAAATTATAGAGATTGAAATTACTCTTTGAATGTATCAATAATTTGAAATATAAAAAATTCCAAATAAATAAGTTTGTATGAAAAGAAACTCCAGTTTTTTATTCTACTGCCGCGCTTTGTAAAATCTGGGGTATTTAAAAAATTAAATCCCAAGTAGAATAAAGGAATCAAGAAAAAAGCAAGCGAGTGCAAAGGGTTAAAGATGACCTATTCCTCCTCAGAGAAGTACACTGAACCAGGTAGAAAAGGTGAGCTAATGTGCTTCAGCTCAACCTGTAGAAAATGAAAGAGTTGGGGGTAAAATCCAAATCTTCCGTTATCTAGAGAAATAGGGAGCCAGAAGTCATAAAAGCCTGGCACCACCTAGATTTTCAGTTTCATTTCCCCCACCCCTGAACTTCCCGTCTTCACCAGATCCCTCTGTCTCACCGCAGAGGAACTTCCCCAGGTCTAGACACCAAACTGTCTCCCTTCCATTAACCAATTCCTCAATGTTGTCTCATCTCAATCCCACCACTTCTCTTACCCTACTTGGCACTTTCACTGTTTATTCCGGTTTTCCCTTTACCTAACGCCACATCTGCCAAAACCACACAGCTCCTTTACCTAAAACCCCTCCAGAACTGTTCCAGTCAAAATAACATACGAAACTGAAGCTAGTGACCGTGGCTACCTCACAAAGAGTCCTGCTCTCTCCACTGGGGATTACAGAAGCCCTTTCTATCTCATGTGTACTATAAATGATATGATGAAAAAAGAAAGTTTTCTCTTTAAGCAAGCAGGTAATTTCTTATGACACATAGCCAAGCAAATGTTTATGCCTACAAGTTAAGCAGGGCAAGTGGCACAGCCCATTGTCACTACCTATAAACACCAAACCTCGCTCTTTACCAAGGACATCGATATCCTTTCTATATCCTTTCGAGAGTGGAAATATTGATTAATGTGAACCCTTCCTTTCTTGTTCTTATCCATTTTCTTGTCAAAGGGCTAGGCAAAGAATGAGGTGGTCAGAACAGAAGACAGGACAAATAAAAGACCAGTAAAAAGTCCAAATACATCAAAAGTAGCCACAGAATGTTGTGTTAAACACATGGACTCTGGAGGCCAGCTGCAGAGTCTTGGCTAAAAGCTCTGTGAGTTTGGGTGCATTGCTTAAACTCTCTGCTACGTTTCTTTATCTGGTAAGTGGGGATACTAGTAGTTCCTCCCTCACAGGGTTGCCATGAGGATTAAATAAGTTAATATTTGTAAAAACACTTGAGAAGATGCTTTGCATTTATTGCACTCCATAGATATTTGTTAAATAAAGCTTCAGTTTGAAATGTTTTAAATAATCGTACTATGTATCTGCTGACCTCCAAATCCTACTAGCAGTTTCAAGACCTAGAGACAAAGTGATGGTTCTATACCATACCACATGTACCCTGCATCCTCTAATAGGGATTGTTTCCTAAGTATTAACTCCATAATCCCTTCTCACTGGGACTTAACAGGAATGCACTCCTGGACCTCGCTCAGAAACGGTGCCCATTGCTACCGCCACATACATGGTGAGAAATGGTCTCTCTGCCTCAGAAGGGCTGGGATGCCACAGAAGTTCTTGTTTGCTCACACATCACAAATTCTACCTGTAACCCAGAACTGGAATTGGGGGACAATGGGTCCCCTACCACAGAGAAAACAAAACAAATGGAAAAATCTATCGTACCAAGCGTGTCTTCTTTGTACAGAGCTCACGGTGCAAAGCAAAACTCCTCAGACCTGTCCAAACTCACTGTCTTAAAGCCTCTCCTCTCTTTCTTTCTCAATTTTACTCCAATTTTACTCTCAATTTTACTCCAATCAGACTCTCAGCCACACCAGATTTGATCTTCTCAAGGGTCAGCCAAAAGCCACCACTTTGGTAAACCCAGTAGGACCTGGTCTCACTCCACCTGTCAGCAGTACTAACACTGCTAACACCACCCCCCTCCTTGGTTGCTCTCTTCTCTTGGCTTCTGGACCCCCATAGCCTCCTGGCTTTTCTGATTCCTCCTTCTGGGGCTCCTTTGCTGGTTGCTCCTTGCTTTCCCCACCTCCTTACACTGGCGCGCCCAGGGCTCGTTCCTTGGTTCTCCACTCATTTACATTCACATCTGCTTTCATGGGGAGCTCATGCCGTCTTGTGGTTTAAAATACCATTTCTTCCCCCCCCCACTGACTCTCAAATGCATATCTCCAGCCAGACCTAAATCCTTAATTCCTAATTCAAACATCCACCTGCCTACTCAACAGGATCGGCACTCCACTTGGATGTCTAATAGCATCCTAAATGTGGCTTGTCCAAAACCAAACTCCTGACCTTCCCCACAAACCGTCTCTTCTTTCGTCTTCCCCATCATGGTTAAGGACATTCCCCACCTGTCCTCCTCCTCTCCCCTGGCCCCATACTGTACCCATCAGCAAATCCTTTAAAAAACATCCAGAATGTGACCATCACCACCAACTGCCCTCTGGCTGCTATTATCTCTTCCAAGAACTGAAATGCCCTCTTGAACAATTTTCCTGCTTTTGCCATTGCTTCACTACAGCAAAGAGCAGCCAGAGAGACACCATTACGATATAAGTCTGATCACATCACTCCCCTGTTCAAAACCTTCCCATAGCTTCTCATCTCACTTAGAAAAGCCAAAGTCCTTGTCAGTACATGGCCCATTTCCACCCCATCAGCTCTCTGGCCTGTCTCCACTCAGCCACACTGGTCCCCTTGCTGACCAGGGCTCGTGCTCACTGCACCTTCCCCCAGAGCACCTTTCTCCAGACACCCAAGGGTTTGCTCCCTCACCACCTTCACTTCTCTGCTCTGATGTCACCTTCTGAGTGTCCCTCGCAATGCTTTTTTTTTTTTTTTTTTTTTTTTGAGACAGAGTCTCACTTTGTTGCCCAGGCTAGAGTGAGTGCCATGGCGTCAGCCTAGCTCACAGCAACCTCAAACTCCTGGGCTCCAGCAATCCTGCTGCCTCAGCCTTCCGAGTAGCTGGGACTACAGGCATGTGCCACCATGCTCGACTAATCTTTTCTATATATATTAGTTGGCCAATTAATTTCTTTCTATTTATAGTAGAGACGGGGTCTCACTCTTGCTCAGGCTGGTTTCAAACTCCTGACTTTGAGCTATCTGCCCACCTCGGCCTCCCAGAGTGCTAGGATTACAGGCATGAGCCACCGCACCTAGCCCCTCGCAATGCTTTTTAAAATAGCAAACTATGCCTGCTTAGTACCCCTTCTCCCTTCCCTGATTCTTCCACATATAAGCCTCATCTATTATAAATTTTACTTATTTTGTTTATCCCCACTAAAATACTTAATTTTGTCTTCCCCATTAGAATCTAAGTTCCAGGTGGGTGGAGATTGATGTCCATTCTTGGTCACTGCTGCATTCCTACTGCCTAGGAAGAGCCTGGTACACAGTAGGTGCTCAGTAGAGATTTACCGAATGAATGGGACTAATGGCTCACTTGGTTCCTCTTACCTAAGACAGTCATCACCGTCTTCATTAGCTTCATGGGTGCCCTCCGGCGGCTGATAGACCCGCTTGTATGTGGAGACAAGACATTGGTTTTCCTCTTGACGTACATGTAGATCCGCAGGTATACCACAACCATGATGAAGAAGGCCACCAGGTTGGACACAGTCCAGAAAATGAGGTAACTCCTGCTGTAAATGGGGGCCAGGGAAGAGCAGGCGGAGATGTTGCAGAGGCAATTCCAGCCCAGCGTGGGGACTGCCCCCATAAAGATGGCGATGGCCCAGATAAGCAAAATGAGCAGCGTCACCCTCTTTTTGGTCAGGTTGCTGTGGACCCGCATCCTCATGATTGACATGTGCCTCTCCACGGCAATAACCAGCAAATTGGTCAGGGAGGCAGTCAAGCTAGTGTCCAGCAGGCCCTGGCGGAGAAACCAGCGGTTGACAGTCAAAGTTTTTGAAACTGGGCCAGTGTTAAACATCAGGAATACATAGGCAATTCCAGCAAAGAAATCTGCAGCAGCTAAGTTAGCCAACAGGTAGTAGAAGGGGAAGTGAAACTTTCTGTTTTTGATCACTGCTGCGATGACTAGAGAATTAGAAAAAAAAATAAACAGGCAGAAAAACGTTCCAACACACAAAACAATCACAAGCTTCGTTCCTGTCCACTCATCGGCAGTGTCAGTGTTGCTCCTATTATAAAAAAAGTCCATCTGCTTATCATAGTAACATTCATTCATTGTGGAGAAGAACTGAACATCCTAGAAAGAAATTTAGAGAAGAAACAAATATCACTCTTTGTACAATCAGTCACTAAACCACCAATTGTCACTGCTAAGCCTCTTCTTCCGGTAACTCCTATTAATCCTTTCGGTCTCACTGTAAATGCCTCTTGCTCCAGGATACTAGCCTCTGACCTCCTACCACACCATTTACCTCACATTTTAATTGTTTATTTCCGAGGCTAGGCTGTGAGCTCAGTGAAGGAGGGTCTGTGTCTATTTTGTTCACCATCATAACCCCAAGATCGGGCTGCCCTGTCTGCCTCATGACAGGTGATTGCTGAATGGCTGACTGAATGAACGAATGATCATGGATCCAGCAACAGGCCAAATGTGCTGAGCACTGCGAATCCACTCTGCATTGGTAACAATCACCACATAGCATGTTAATGCTTTCTTCTGGTTTCCAATTCATTTCTTATTTATGGGTTGTGTCCAATTAATCAAGCGCAGGCTGGTAATTCCAGGCACATTCTTTCCAAGAGAATGGGGGTCAAATTACTCTTCACATAACCAAATGGCTTCCCCAAGAGATTAGTTTTCTACCACATCTGATTCCACTTCTGATCCTCCTTTTGCCATCTTTTGGTTTCAAGCTACAATGACAATATTCACTTATTAAGCATGTGGTATGGGGATGGAGACTTTGGACTTAATACTTCTTCCTTACCTTTTAGTTCACTTTGTCCTACAGTCTCCTAATCCAAACTGTACCAATGGGAACTTGTTTACTGGATTCTTCAACATGGCAGGCGGTGGAGGATCAGGCCTCCACGGGCAACACTGAGATTTAGAGTTCGGGCAGATAACACCCAATGTGGATGTTGGAACATAACTACCGACCAAGGGCAAGTCCCTAGGACACATGTCTGAAAGTAGACCCCAGACTGGGGTATCCTGCAGACAGGGAAGACACTAACCCTCTCTCAATAAAAGATCTCTTGCACCACAGATGTGAAGGTTCTCACCAAGGAAGGGCTGGGTGGGGAGTCCAAGGATGCCCATCTGTCTGTGCTTGGTGGAGAAAACCAAGTGTTCTGCCTCACCCTGGGCTGGCGCCATGAAGGGTCCTATCAGAGAAGGTGGGGTCTAGGGCCAGATCTTCTAGGTAGGATGACTGTGGGCTCCCTCACAAAGAATGAGGCTACAACTTATTCTCTGAAGAACCAGAGATGCAGTAGGCCCAGAAGCTGAGCAGTCCACTAGTGGGAATGAAGTGGCTCTGATAGCAAAAGCTATTTAAAAGATTTTAAAGTTCCTACAAATTCTGAAATCTAATCCTATGTCCAGAATCAGGATAAGCAAACCAGATAACAATTTTAAGTAGTACAAAATAGAAATGTACCTCAATCTTCTTTTTAATTTATATTTTAATGGTATAATGATACTTTTAAATGAATTAGATATTGTCTCTCTGCCATAGTAAATGGGAGATAAATCTCATTTTATATGCTGAAACTGGAAATAGTCTCAAGAGAAAAATGGTTCCAGTGCTTTTCAATTACAAGGAAGGAGGACTCAATTTTACTAATGATAAAACAAAAATTACTCTCTTCGGAAGACATTCGCTAACATTTAACTGTAAATATCAAATAACTTCATACAACCAGGCCACTATGTCATATATCTTATACCATATCATAATAATTTTCCCAAATTAAAAATATAGATAGTATGGTAATTTTAATAACTTCATAATATTCCATTATATGAATATGCTACACTTAACTAATCCTAAATGTTGGACATTAAGGTTGTTTCCAGCATTTCACTTTTATAAACAAGGCTACATTCTTGTGCATTAATCTTTATATAGTTGGCCAATTATTTTTTTAGGAATAATCCACAGATTTCAAATTGAGATAAGGGATATAAATTTATAAATTTATTTAAAGGTTTCTGATACATTTTCTTTTTCTTTTTTTTTTGTTGAGACAAAGTCTCACTCTTTTGCCTGGACTAGAGTGCTGTGGCATCAGCCTAGCTCACAGCAACCTTAAACTCCTGGGCTTAAGCAATCCTTGTGCCTCAGCCTCCTGAGTAGCTGAGACTACAGGCACATACCATGCCCGGCTAATTATATATATATTTAGTTGTCCAGCTAATTTCTTTCTATTTTCTTTTTAGTAGAGACGGGGTCTTGCTCTTGCTCAGGCTGCTCTCGAACTCCTGAGCTCAAGCAATCTGCCTGCCTCGGCCCCCTAGAGTGCTACGATTTCAGGCATGAACCACCATGCCGGGCCTGATATATTTTCTTGTCAAACCGTGCTTGAGAGAGATTGTACTTTTAATCCCACCAGCAGCAGATGAGAGTTAAATAGAAGGTAGTAATCTAGTAACATTCCATTTAAATATCCAAAGAGAAAATACAGCTTTCAACCATGTTGAAAGTATATAGAAACTCAAGACAAACAATCTAAGAACCACTTGCTATGGTCTGAATGTTTGTGTTCCTCCAAAATTCACGTTGAAACCAAATCCCCACTGTGGTGGTATTAATAGGTTGGGCCTTTGGGAAGTGAATGGGATTAGTGCCCTTATAAAAGAGGCCTAAGGGAACTTGTGAGTCCCTTTCTGCTATTCCACCACACAAGGACACACATTTGCTCCCTTCTGCCACATGAGGACACAACAAGGTGCCATCTTAGAAGCAGAGATGAGGCCTCACCAGACAACAAATCTACTGGTGCTTTAATCTTGGACTTCCCAGCCTCCAGAACTGTGAGCAATAAATTTCTGTCATTTAGAAATTACCTAGTCTAAGGCATTTTTGTTACATCAGTAGGAACAGACTGAGACACCACATGAGAAATTTTAATAATATATGTATTATGTGTCCTTTCACTAATTAAAACTAATTTATGTATTTTATTCTGTTATGTGCTCTAGATATCTAAAAGAAACATATTTCTAATTTAAAAGGTATGTTATCCTTGACAAATTTATTAGAAATAACAAGATTAATATGTCACAAAGACATTAGAATTAAGATAATACAAAATAATACTGTTAAAATTTTCCTAAGTTTCTTTTGAAAGGGATCTTAAAATTTTAGTTTTGGTTTTTAACATGTGTTTGAATTTGTAATTACATCATGCAATAAAACCTCAATGATTTTTACTTCAAAAATCTTCAAATTCAGCTTTCCCCCACAAAAACCAAAATGGCACATTCTTACACATGTTTTAGCAAAAATTGTCTTAAGACTGCAAAGCAGTTTTTTCATACAAAGTTGAGATAGCATAGAAGAACTATAATTAGCCACAACTTCCTCTAAGTAGTCCCCTAACCCCAGGCCCCAGATTCTACTTTGGGGAGAAACAGTCAAGAAGGACAAAAATGTTTATATAGAAAATTGGTTAAATAAATAAATAAATAGGAAAAAATCCATGGAATATGCAGAAAATGAAAATAATGTTCACTATGAAGTTGTAGTAATATAAGAAAAAGCCCATGTCATTGTTTTAATCACAAATTATATATATACAAATATACATACACAAATATGTGTGTTGACTATTTTTAAAAGGTATAGAAAAAAAGATAAGAAAAAACTCCCAAAATATAAATAGTTAATTAAGGATGGTAGAACTATGGGTCATTTTTCAAAAATTCTTTCTAGCATTTCCTATATCCCATATTTTCTATAATAAGTAAATAAATAGACTTTTAAGAACTATTTTACAAATTCTGTCTTAGGAGTACACATTCTACCTAATGTATTCTACCTTTCTTCTACAACTATAGCTCTGAAAAATCAAAATTAATGTTCAAAGGAAAAGCCTCAAAATATTTGCATACCTACAGCTTTACTTGCTGAAACCTGACGGTATCAGGACCTAACTTTCACCAATTCACTTACAAAACATTTCCTAATACCATCACCTCAGAGCTCCAAAAATAAGTTAACTTGAAATTTTATGAATTAGTACTTTTGATTTGTTTTCTCCTCTGCCATATGCTATCAAGCTTGTTGGCAGTCCTCAGTGCATGTTAACTAGAAATCATCATCTTTTCTTAGCTGGAAATTCCCAAAAATTTTAGCGAGCTTATAACAAATGACTGATTTATCATCTCTTGACTTCCCTTAAACCTTAAAACATGATTCTGTAATTTTCAACAAAGTGGTAAGTTACTTTAGTCCTAGCCTGACTGTCTCTTCCACAGAGATACTTCTCCAGCGAATTCAAAGTAGCCCTGAGCTGTTGTTCTCAGAGAGCCCCGTTTTAACTTCATCAGAGCTACCCAGCAGCTCACTTGTCACCCAGTGTTTTCTTTTGTTCTTATGTATTTATTGTCTCTCTCCCACTCAGACTGTTCCACTCCAGCAGAGCAGGGGCCTGCCTATTTTGCTCACTTCTGTAACATCAGCATTTATTGAATGAAAGAATGAATGAATCTCTATCCTACACTACCTTTTCTCCCTCTAAAATAAAAAGGTTAAGGGCCTATGGTGACCTTACACGTCAACCACTAAATATGACAATTAGAGAGCTCCATCACTTAGTAACTATGTGTTCTCAGGTAAGTTACCTATCATCTCCACCTCATTATTGCTATATTTAATTACTAATATTTGAGTGTTTACTTTGTGGCTGGTGCTGCACTAAGCATTTTACATAGATTATTTCACTTAATTCTCCCAAGAAAGATATAGATACTATTATTACACCCATTTTGCAAATGAGAAAACTGAACCACCCTTGCCTAAGGACACACAGCTAGCAAGTGGGAGACCCTGGATTCTATTCCGGCAGCCTCGCTCCATGGCTTGCATGCTTATCTACAGGCTCTGTTTTCTCTCCACAGGCACATGAAATACCAGACAGAACCAAGAACTACAGTTATACTTACAATAACAATAGAATTGCCAAAATACAAAGAGCTGATCAAAATCACATTCAGACTGCCCCATGCTATAAAAAATTGGGGACATTCTGAATAGCCTTTGGTCTTTATTTTCTTAAATAGTCCTGAGA